GTAAGCAGTTAAGTAGAATAGAAAGAAAGGGAATAAGGAATAGCAAAATACTGCAAGGACAGTAGTAAGTCAATACTTATCAGTAATAATTATCAATGTGAATGGTCTCAAATCCCAATCAAAAAGTACACATTGGCAGAATGAATCAAGAAACAAAATCCAACAGTATGCTTTATACAAGAAACATAATTAATTGAAAATATAATAGACTAAAATCGAAAGGATGTAAAATAATATTCCAGGCAACAGGAGCCCAAAAACAAGCAGGAGTACCTATCATATTTTCAGACAAAATGTACTTCAGCCCAAAATGAATAAGAAGAGGCAAATAAGGCCACTACATATTGGTAAAGGAAATATTTCAATGGTAAGAGATGACAATTATAAACATATACACACCAAACAATGGTGCACTCAACTTTATGCAACAAACACTACTGGACATAAAATATGAGATAAACACCAATACAATTATAGTAGGTGACCTCAATGTCTTACTGTTATAGACAGGTCAATTAAACAAACAAAGATATACTAGAATTCAACAAAACTTTTGAACAAATGGATTTAATAAATATCTAGAGACTATTGCACCCACCAAAAACAGAATACATATTCTTCTCAGCAACACATGTATCTTTCTCCAAAATGGACCACATACTAACCAATAAAGCCTGCTTAAATAAATGCAAAAGAATCCAACTTTTCCAAGCATATTATCAGTTCATACTGCAATGAAATTAGAAATAAAGGGCAACAAAAAGCACAGAAATTATGAAAACATATGGAAATTAAACAATACCTTCTTGAATAATCAGTGGGTCATAGAAGTAATCAAGGAATATATAACATAGTTCCTAGAATCAAACTGTAAGGCCACTATTATGTACCAGAATTTATGAGACACAAAGAAAGCATTATAACAAGGAAGTTTATAGCTGTGAATGAGCACATCACCAAAACATAATAGGCCCAAATAAATAACTAATGATGCACCCCAAGGTCCTAGAAAAACAAGAACAATCTGAACCCAAAGTGCTGGGTCTTTGAAAGGATAAACAAAATAGACAAGCCTTTAGCCAGAAAGGAAAGAAAGAAGAAACAAGAAAGAAAGAAAGAAAGAAAGAAAGAAAGAAAGAAAGAAAGAAAGAAAGAAAGAAAGAAAGAAAGAAAGAAAGAGAGAAAGGAAGAAGAAAGGAAGGAAGGAAGGAAGGAAGGAAGGAAGGAAGGAAGGAAGGAAGGAAAAGGAAAGATCCAAATCAAGGCAAATAGAAATGAAAAAGGTGAACTTACAACAGACATTGCTGAAATCCAGGAGATTATTAGAAACTACTCTGCAAACTTGAATGCCAATAAATTGGAGAACTTGGAAGAAATGGATAGATTTCTAGATATACATGAATTACCAAAAGTGAACATGTACATAGCACATCTTAATTCTCTCTCCACCTCCCTCCATCCTTTGAATCTCTTCCCAGGTTAGAAAGATCTATCTCCCTACTTCCTATTATTGCTTTTATTTTGCTCTTGACTTATTTATTGAGTTTCTCATGTAAGAGAAACCATGTGATATTTAAGCTTGTGTCTGACTTATTTCACTTAAACATTATGGTCTCAAAGTGCATCCATTTTCCTAAAAATGACTCATTTATCTTAATGGCAGAGTAGTACTCAATTGCGTGCAAATGCCACATTTTCTTTATGCATTAATCTGTTGATAGACATATATGATGCTTCAAGAATGAGGTTATTATAAAATGTGCTCCTATAAACATTAGTATACATGTAGTAGCACTGTAATATGATGTCCTTAACTCTTTCGGGAAGATACATGGAGGGGGAAAAGCTGGATCAAATGAAATTTCTAATTTCATGAAGAATCTCCATACTGATTTTCACTGTGGTTGTACCAGTTATCATTTCTACCAACAATATAGAAGGGTTCTTCAGCACAACCTTGCCTGTATTTGCTATTATTTGATTTCTTGATGATAGCCATTCTTTCTGGGGTAAAATGCAATATCAGTGTTGTTTCAATTTCCATTTCTCTAACGGCCAGCAATGTTAAACAGTTCATGTATTTATTGACCCTGTATTTCTTCTTATGAGATGTGTCTAATTCATTGTCCATTTTCTGTTGGGTTTTTATTTTTGGAATTTAATTTTTTTAATTTTTTGTATATTTAAATATTAGATGTCATTCTGAAGGTTATCTCTTTACTCTGTTGGTTGTTTCTTTTGCTGTACAGAAGTTTTTAAATTTGATATTATCTCATTTACTGATTCTTGGTAATACTTTACATACAACTGGGGTTCTATTCAGAATGTCTTTGCCTACACCTGTGGCTTCAAGAGTTTTGTTCCTGATTTTAGAGGTAAAGCTTTCAGCACAGTTTATCTGCATGGATTTCTGTTTAAATTCCATGTATACCATGTCTAGTTAAATCCTATTAAGCATACCATAATGTGTTCTAAAATTTACTTCCACTTCTTGCTATAAATTGTTTGTGAAGCTTCTTTTTATCTCTTTAGCATATCTTTCCTTATTTTCTTTCATAACCCTATGCTTTTGCCATTTTTTCACCTTGATCATGAGTTGTCTTTCAGAATCAATGTGTGTTAACAAAAGACATGTGAATTTCCCCAGCCCCACTATGGTGTATCTAATTGCTTTTAAAATCCTGTTCAGTCATTTGCAGCAAAAGCTTTATTTGATGCACTTGGTGAATAACATTATTTACCAGGGAAACTTACTGTATTCGAGCATGTGAACTTATAAATTAAATATTTAAGTCTAGAGAATTAATATCTAAGTGAATGATATGCATTTTGTGAGTGTATTTTGCTATTTTTATTGAGTAAAAAGGATTTGGATTATTTTGATTAAAAATAAAATGGACTTGGGAAAGCAGCAATATAACATGAATACTGTAGATGAAAAACATATTTGGAGTTCACATTCAACTATAAAGCAAAGAAATTCAAAGGCAACCACACAGCTTCCTCAGCCTGTTGCCCTACTTGGAACCTCTGTAGGCTTAATGAATGATTTTTAAAATACCATTCATGCAAAAGAAGTAAACAGTAACTAAGGCTGAAGCAACATGTTATGGCTTGCCCCAGCTCAAGGGAAAAACTAAGCAAGAGTCTGAGGGAAAGATATGCACTAGATGATGTATAAATTTATAAGGAGGATTTGGGTATAAACACAGTAAGTAGAACATAGAGTCTGTGAACTAGACAGCACTAGAGGGCCTATTGGGTGCTATACATTCATCATTCTCTTACCACAATATCTGTAGTCATTAAGGAAGCAATTGTTCTTGAATCTACACTACCTCATTTGTTCTACTTGTCAGCATTACTGGATGAAGGGAGACTTGGACTGATAAATAGGGAGACTCGTTCTTCTGGTGATTTGGTTTTCTAGCAATCAGAGTGGTCTGCTGACATGAACACCCTTTCTGCCTTGGCTCCCATGTTGCAGCCAAATCCTACTGGTTCAAGACAAGTAAAAAGTCAAGAATTCCTTTTTGCCTCAAACTGCCTCACACTACCAATAACAAATTATTTTATTCCATAAATGAGCTTTGATAATGAGAAAACTGCATGAAGAATGTAGAATTTGTCTCTCACAATACAAAGGAGACAGAGGGTTAGGGAAGAGGCCAGTATCAAATCGGATAAAATTAACCCGTCTATTCCTGCAAAACCTGTTATAGATACCCTTACCCAGGCCAGTGGCAGCTGGGAGGAGGACAGTCACTCTGGAGAAAAGAAGTTGGCTGATTCCTTGATTTGAGATATGCGGGGGTCATTCCAGAAATCTTAGCTAAGGTAGAGATCATGAACTCAGGTGGTTCTATCAGAGAACAGAGCTGGAGAGCCCAAGAGTTTGATCACTCAGGAGTTTGGCTTTCAGAAGCCCAGAGTTAATATGAAGCCAACAGCATTCCTAGAAAGGATTTCCACATGCATTGAGACCCAAGAGTGCTCTCACTATGTGGTCAGACACGCGGCTCTGGCAGGACAAATAGGTCCATGTTGCCAAAGAGCAGAAAAAGAGGAATGGGAGTCCTAGGTGTCCACAATAGTGGCAGCATCCCTCTTTCCACCTCAGTATACTGGGCATTTAGGAGTAACCAGCTACAGATGGGAATTCTCTGAGGAAAGGGGCAAAGAAAAGGTAGAAGGAAAGCATTAGGGAAGCACCTGAGAGGATTCAATATGGAAAACTGAGACAAACATTTTAAAATCCACTTTTCTAGATTAGTGTCAAATTCACAATACAAATATCATTCTCTTGCTCCAGCTGTGTGAGCTGCTGCATGGGGAATGCTGGACTTGGAATTCACATACCCCTAGCTATCATTTAAATATATCCCAGAACCCTACCTTCTCCAGTCAAAAGTTCTCAGAGATATCTTGCAGGTAATAGAAGACATAGGAGGAAGAGGCAGCACCTCTCGCCCAGTGACGGCCACGATTATGACTACCCTAGAAATAGAGCTGAGTCTCCCAAATACATTTCAAACATTTTCTCTTGCCACCCATATTTAAGTGGTTTTGGCATTTGTCATCTCTCACTAGTCTTGTTGCCAATAACCCTAAGGTTCTTTTGCTCAATTCATGAATTAGCTCTGCTAGCAGTATTGATGTAACCAAGTAACACCAAATAATTCTACACATGAACAGCTGCCACAGCCAGCAACTGATCACTGCCATTGCTGTCCCCCACTATCTGGCACTGATTTTTGTTGAACACCACAGATCAACTGTGCTGAGTGCTGATCTCTGCTATTGATCTTCACTGGCTCCTGGTCTCTGGAGCTGTTCAGTGCTAACAGCCCCCAGTGTTTATTACTGTTTGTTTTTTAACCAACCACTCTGTCCACAGTACTCAGGTTAAGAATCCCAAGCAGATTTATAGGCCTTTTGGAGCCCACACTATTAAATTAAATCATGAGCAGGTTTACAGGACAACCAAAATGACTCTTTATTTTAACAGGGCCTATGCTGCAGCACAGGAGGGTAAGTACACTGGAGGAACCCCTCCTAAACTAAACAGAGAAGTGTGTAAGTGTGTACGGAGTGCTGCTTATATAGCAGCTACAGATCTGTGATTGGTTCAACTACAGATCTGTGATTGGTGCAGGGCTCCAGGACAGCCTCAGCTGTTATGGCAGAGATCCAGTGAAGTAGGAGGGCTAAAACCAGAGAATCTTCTGGAAGAAGACCTGGGGGGGTTGGGAGTGTTAACAATGGGCCCAGATCCTTCGCTCCCTGATTTTAGGCTTGCCAGGGTGCACCCTCCCTTCTTCAAAAAGGCAACAGTAGTGTGTAAAGTGGCAGAAGTTGGGAAGGGGCACCACGCTGATAGTTGAGCTGCACTCATGTTAGAGTAGAGAGTAGCTGGTAGATAGCCAGAGAGGACACCAAACCAAGGTGTCCCCATACGTTGGGGAAGGAAGTGGGGGGAGGAGCACAACAGCCCCTAGCCAACCCATGCCCCCTCCAGCCCAGACAGGAAAAGTGGGAGAGCCAGGTGCTTCCTAACTGTCTCAATCTAATGATTTGAACTTTTAATATTTCTTCATGAGGAAGGTAACATAAATCAATACCACTCTGAATTGTGTTAGACTTCAAGTCAGAGAGGATGAATTTATATGGTTGAAAGTTTAGGGTAGTAAAGGGAGGAAGTTAAGTTCCGTTCAAAACTAACAGGGAGATGAAAATCAACTTTGGGGTAAGAGAAAGATCAGGACAAACTCAGACTGACAGCTGAAGGAAGAGCACATGCAGCTGGTAACAGAATATGGTCAACTTTAAATAGTGGCAGAAATGCAAGTGCTCATGCTAAGTAAGGGGAAGACTGCATTGTCATTTTCTTCCCACACCTGCTGTACTCCTTTCAAGGAGAGCAGACCCTGCCACAGAAAAGAATGGTTTGGGTTTTGTTGTGTCGGATGAAAAAGAGAAAGGGGTGGTTGGCATTAAACTCCACCCAAGACGGCAGTGACTTCTCCACACCAACAGCGCCACTGGTTGCAGCTGCCTGGGTGCCATCTTCATCCACTTCCACAAAGGTCTTGTGAAGAATTTTGGACAAATGCAGACTGCGACTTGGAGAGATTCCAGTAAGATCGGCCTTTGTTTCATCAAAGATATCAGTAATGCCCATATCTTGTATAACAGCCTTGAGATCGTAGGTGTCTTCTAGGGTGAACTGGGGGAAGGAGATGACTACTGTTTCTTCTGACATGTTTTCTGAGCCACTCCAGGCCACTAGTTTTTCATAACTTATTTTCCTTTCAAGCTGAAAGAGAAAGAAAATAATATTTGGGTTAAGATTAAAAAGTTTTCAAAGAACTCCCAATTACTTCAAATTGCCTGAGTCCATTTCAACAGTCAACTACATATAACCTTCAAAGTTTTTTTCTAAGTGTCTGATTTCATTTTTAAGTATTCCAACTAAATCTGTTTCCTCTCTAGAAATTACAGTACAATTTGGGTGTCAGTGGACTTTGGTGTTTGACAGACTCATGTCCAAAGACCAGCAAAGTTCGATGGGAGGAGCTATGGCCAGCCCTAACATTTTGAAGTTAAATCTCGTCTTTGGTAGAACAAAGATAATACAATTAGGCTCTTGCAAGGATTCAACAAAATAATGTGCATAAAGTACTTAAAATAGTACTGGCACACAGTACATTTGGAATAATGGTTGTTACTGTTATTGTAATTACTATAGTAGCATTTCTCTCTCACTTTCTCTCACTTTTTCCCTACTAGAACAGTTAGTAACTGAGCCTTCCAGACCTTCATTAATTCCTGCCTTAGTGTGTCAATCTCTACTTCTATCAGAACAGAATGTGACTGCACTACAGCAAAACAGTCTGAATAAGAGGCTAGAAGTCATTCTCTTTAGGTAAAAGGTGCTGTTTAATTTGCAGCAATTCTCAAATTACTCAACATCCATATTCCTTGATCTGGAAAAATGATTACAAATGGCTATCAAGTTAGAGATAATCATATTCCAATATTTTAGCATTTATTCTTTAGTTTTAAACAAATAAATATAAAATGTAATTCAGATTCTTATATAGTCTTCAGTATCTCCAATAGCTGGGATATTCTCCTCTCTCAAGATGATAGATGATAGATAGTGTTATTCTCCACCTATCCCTAATTAAACTTGCGTGCAGACATGGAAAGGGAGACTGACCTCCTGCAGGACCTTCACATTGTCTGCAGAAGGAGACGGCAGCAGGATGAACATGCTGAGCTTCCCTATGGTGTACCTCATTTCAAGGATCTGTGCCTGCAGCTCCTCGATGAAACCAATTCTATACAGACCCTTCTGATTCATCATCTTCACACTCTTCTGTTCATTCTGCAGTAGACAAGGCAGGAGGTGACAAGAAGCCCTGGAAATCTTACAAAATCCTATGGCCCTACTTTTCCTGAGAACAAGATCAGAAGGGTCTGCCCCACAAGCCCCACACCACTGACCCAGCCTAAGAGTCCTCTGTCCATGGATCAATCAGCCCTTACTTTGCCAATACTTACACTTTTATCCTCTGGTGTTTTTAATCATTTTTCAACTCTTAAGACTACTTATCAGTAGACTTTCTATTACTTATCTCTCATAGTTGCATCAGCCAAAGCAAGACCTGCAAATTCTCTGTCTTCAATGCCTGCTACACCCCAACCCCCTTGGCCTCAGTCCCAGCCTCTCAGTTCTGAACAATCCCTCCACAGTGCCCATGGGGACCAGATTAAATGTTAATTGTCTACATATTAATTAATAATACTTGCTCCATAGGTTTCTTGTAGAAGAAAAGACACCACTCTGGGCCCCTTAAACCTCACAATAACCTTGTGGTGGAAGTCATTAATCTACTGATAAGGGCATTTAGTGCTTGAGAAAAAAGCTTGTCCCCAGTAACAAAGTCAACCAGCACCAGTGGTTGGCTGGGATCCAGTACCTGCCCTGTCCTCCTATTCTAAGCCTAGTGGCTCAGGACATGGATTTGGGGGACAAGTGCAAATGTGAACTTCAATCACAGTTGAGTAACTTAGTCTTTGAAATTTTTGCTCTCAAATCCTAAGCAGAAATAATGACACCAATTTCATAATGTCACTTTGAGGAACAAAAGAAATAATGAAGGAGAAATATTCAGTGCAGTAGTACAAAAATGCTCAATGAACTTCAGGTACTGACTTTTTTAGTCACAAAATGTTCTTATTAAATTATAAGCTACAACTTGGAGAACTAAGCTTTAGACTTGTGTCTACACACTGCAAACTGTTGTTGGTGGAAAATATCAGTGAGAGATCTAGCAAACCATGGGCTCCAACATAGTACCTCATTTAGAAAGAAAGGTGCATCAACTGTATTTTTACAATCAAAATATTTTTCCCATTTTGCCTTGAAGTAAACAGCGTTCACCAGCACCAGCACAGTCGCATCATTAATAGTGTCCTTGCTGAACAGTTCCTTGATTTTACCTGAAGACAAAGTGCCAGAGAAAGTATCACAGTGTTCATGTAAAAAGATTTTTCAATGCATCTTAATATCCCCACTCTTAGAGAGTGTTTGATTTAAGAATAAACCCAAGAAAACAGAACAACTCATAATTGTGGGTGGGGTGCAAGTGGGAGGTAAGGGTGAGAGTGATCATGTGGGAAACTCCCTCACTCCACCCTGATCAGGGATCCAACTGAGAGTACTAGAACTCAGAGAATCTCTGATTCTCTACACCACTATGGTTGGAACTTGTTATCAGACATCTAATACCATAGTTTAACTTTCAAATTATACACCAACCACCTGACTACAGTCTCCAGGAGAAAATGACTATGGTATAAATGTTTGTCTCAAGAATTTAGGACATATAAACAAAAATGCATACAATTTATGCACCATGACATAAAACCTATTTTGTAAGGATTTTCACGTGGTTTCTCTCATTCTGCCCCTCATAAGCCATGAGAAGTATGTATAGTTACCTGTTCTTAATGGAGTAATATATTGTAGGCAATAAGAGCTGCTGTTAAACAGCCCAGAAGCAGTAAGGATGGCCAGGATCAGTGCTGCAGCTCCCTCTTTCATCTTTTGGCCCACTTTGGGGGCTTTCTCTTCAATAACATAGCATTAAAAATGACTGGAAAGCCCCTACACCATTGAGCAATAGTCCATTTCGGCGTATACATTTTTCCACCTCAAAATATCAAATCACTAGTTACATAGGCTGCAGTCTTAAGAAAACAAGATCTTTTTATCTCAAGAAGATCTCTACTTAAATCCCATAATACACTAGATAATTATTCATTGCTTTTTTTGGGGGGGGGTACCGGGGATCGAACTCAGGTCCTTGCACTTGCGGGCCAGGCAGTGGAACCACTGAGCTAAATCCCCAGCAAGATAATTATCCTTTAACAGTATTTCTTTAGTGAACTACTTTCTCTTGACCATTGATCCTTAAAGGAATGAGAATCTATGGCATGTGGATAAAGGAAGGACAAATAATTTTGGAATATAAAGACTTCCCCTAAGGAAAGGCCAGGAGTAAGCTGGCCCTAAGTCAGAGTCCGGTGGGTAGGAGACAGGAAGGAAAAGCCTCCAAAAACAGAGGAAGGAAAAATCACTGTACAAGTTACCAAAGACAAATGAAAGCAGGTCAACTATTGTTCCCAGCCTGTTGGCCATGAGGAACAGCAAGACCCTTGGTCTTACTCTTATTCTGCAGGCAGGAGAAGCAGTGCACTACCTTTCTCTCAGGTACTTCACACTTTTAGTTGCAGATAAACATTTTCTGCAGCCACACACTGGCAATCAAAAAACATGTCCAGCAACTTAACTTGGCCCTTAGGCTGCTAACCCTGAGGTGGGGGTGGGGGTGGATTTTATTCAGTTTTGCAAACCCGTGCAAACACTGGTAGAAAAGAGCACTCTGAGGCACATCTGGAGCAATAAGGGGCCTCATTCCCCCTCTTCTTTTTCCAGGACTGCCACCAAGACTACAGACCATTTCCTCCATGAAACACAGACTCAAAATGGTTTGCATTTCTGACATGGGGATGGTAAGAGGTAAGTCTTGGGGAAGATGGGGCAGAAGGGTAAGACCACTACAAACGAACAAGAAATAGGGAAAGAATACTTAGTGGTAAAGTTGAGTCCTCTCACTTGTTGGCTATCTTAATTCAAAAGCAAATTCAAGATGAAGAAGCCAATCTCTTTTTTTAAAGTTTTTTTTCAGTTTTATTATATAAAGTCTTGCTATATAACTCAGGCTGGTCTTAAGCTCACTATGTATCCCAGTTTGTAGCACAAACTCCTGCCTCCAAACCAAGTGCTGGAATTACAGGCAGGTACCACCATACCTGACTCAAAAGTATTTTTTAATTGATGACTAAAAATTATATATATTTATCATGTATAATGGGATGTTATGAAATATGTGTACACTGTAGGATAGCTAAATAAAATTAACATCTGCATTAATGAAAATGCAATAAATAAATAGTAATAATTACAACAAATACTTCAAACTATAGGCTATAAACTGTGTTTATTCTAAGAAACCCTTTTTTTAAAATAAAACATAGGTCATGAACAGGGCATGTTCTCTTTACAGACAATCTTTGCTTTATTAAAAACGTGTTAAAATATTTGACACATTATAAGGAGACATGAATGGCTGGCAAAAAGAGAATCTCCTTATTTGGGCACATAGACACTGCTATGCATTTTAAAGAATTGAGATGTTCAGGTTAGAGCATTATGAGTCATCCTTGATAATTCTAACTCTCGTTAAATAACATACCACCTATCCAACTGATTGATAAAAATCCTTCCAATGCACCTAGTCATAGTTCTCCAGTCCATCCTTTTCACACCCCTCACCTAGCACCAAGGGCCCCAGCCACCAGCTCCTCCATCCTCTTCTTCTGCCATGGTGCCCTAACTCCACCACCAGGATCTACACCCACCTCTGTGCACTTCCAATTTGCTCTCCATTCTACAATCAGACTCATCTTGTAAAAACAAAGCTTCTCTTTGTTCTTAGTTCATCATATAAAATAATACTGAAAACTTTAATGCATGGGTAGATTCTTATAAATGAAATGCAAATTTAGATATTAATCACAAGTAATTATAAGACACTCAAGCCATGCTGTAATTTTGAAACTCACAACTATATAATTAAAGAGCAGTTTTACATGTGATACATTATTTGGTTATATGATAGATATGTAAGTGCAATAAATGAGGTCCTCAACAATTCCAATATATGAACTCAGATATATGGACTCAGATATATGTCCCAGATATATTATAGAGATTATGAGTTTGGGTTCTATGGGGAAATGAATACTCAGCGCTGAGGATACTGATGTGATTCAAGGAGTGATAGTGATCCACACATACTATGAAAATGAAACTCTATATTAAAAGCATTAGAAATGTTGAAAGAAAAAATTAGTGCTTATAGGAGGAACAATTCAGGCAATGAGACTATGAGTACTATTTACTAAAAATTTTAAAATACCATTTTAGAGAATCATGGAATTTTATGGAAGTAAGAAATCTCCCCTCTATCATTTTATAAACAGAGTTACTGAGAATCAGGATGCTCATCAACATCAAGGCCATTTACCTGAAGACAGGTTCAGCTTCATTTAGTTTATGTTTTGTTTTAATGAAAACATCTTTTTTATTAATTTTACATTTGAAATATACATAATGATCACATCCATCTTAGGGAATTTGTAACTATGCATAATATATCTTGATCCTTCTTTTTTTCGCCAATCTCTTCCCTTCCTTTTAAACCCTTTTCCCTTCCTAATTTACAAAGGCTTTGTTTCCATTTTTTCTTCTAGTCTCCTTTTTTTTTCTTTTCCCTTCCTTTTTCCTCTTCCCCCGTCCCTTGTTCCCCTTCCCATGTGAACATCTTCTTCCTATCTCCCAATTTCTATTATACATTTTGGTCCTAATTTGCCCTTTCAGTTTCTCACACCAGAGAAACAATGCAATATTTAAACATGTGTGTCTGATTTATTTCACTTAACAATATGCTTTCAAAGTAGATCCACTTACCTAGAAATCCCTCATTTATTCTTTTCATGGCAGAGTAGTACTCCATTATATAAAAATACCACATCTTTTTTATCCATTCATCCATTAATGGGCATTTGGGCTGTTTCCTATATTTAACTATACAAACTGATTGCTGCTATAAACATAGCTGTGTAGATGTCACTGTGGTATGATGCTTTTAATTCTTTTGGGAAGATATTGAGTGGAAAGCAGTGTGGAAATTCCTCAAAAAACTAAAACTAGAGGTTCCATTTGACCCAGCTAATGCAAACATCTTAAGAATGAAGAACCTCAGGGCTGGGGATTTAGCTCAGTGGTACTGTCACCTGCCTTGCAAGGGGAAGGTCCTGAGTTCCATCCCTGGTACCAAAAAAAAAGGAATGAAGAACTTCTTACTCTACCAAGTTAAACACAAACAAGGTACAGGTATGTCATGAAGAATAATATTATTCTAAAGCAGCATAATCTATGTGTTTTTTGGAATAATCACATAACTGAATTACATGAAAAAGAGACTATAAAGAGGACAGTTGGAGAGTAGGGGCCAGCTGAAGATGAATGCCAGATGGTGGATACTTCCTACACAAGGCAGCCAGGAAAGTATGTTTAATGAACTGGGCTGCCACCCAGCAAGTTGAGGGCACCAGATTATATTTAAATGTGCCCAGGAAGAAATGACCACTTTAGGAACCCTGTAATCTTACAGACTGATCTCACTTCCAATTAGAAGAGTCCATTCTGGCTGAGAATGTGAGAGATTTACATTAAAATATGATTCTATATGTTGCACTTAACATGCTCTTTCACTCAGGAAAGAGCCTATTCATAGAGTGAAACATTGATAAGAATGATGATATTATTATTTCCATATTTCTCTGACTAACTAGAATTACTTGAAATCTTAACTTTTCATTAACCTTTTAAAATTAATGAAAATGTTAACATCCTGCCAGCATTATGCTTGGCTGAAAAGCATTTTACCTTTATTTATGTTGGGGAAAAAGAACAATAATAAGAAACAGAAATAGCTAAAGATTTTAACTGTTTTGATGATGTTCAAGAAGAGCTTTGAAAACAGTCTGTACATGTGAACATCTACCTCCAAAAGATGGACAATCTGAACAGCTGGGATGGCTGGTTCTCTTTGAAATGGAAAGAAATAACAGCTACTATGTGTTTGGTCTTTCTTACCTTGGCATTGAGATTCAACCCAAAAGTTAATCATCTGTCTAGACTTTTCGGTGCTTTTCTGGAAATCAACACTTTCAATTGTCGTGTGGTAAAATTGAATCACACCATCTGAGTATTCCTGTTCAATTGGAGTAAATGCAAAATAGTACGACAAAGTCAGCTGAAGATGATAACAGTTAAGAGTGAGGCAGTCATGAGAAGCCTAGTAGGAAAGATGTACCTCGTCACCTAGCATTGCAGAAACAGGCCTGTCAGCTGCTATCTAGACTTGATTAGGCAGAAATGATTCTGGTTTTGTAGTGACAACAGGACACAGACATTCATTTATAAAGTAGTCTATATTTATAATGACATGAGCCTCCCCTATCAGTTATCCTTTTATTTGAACAATCTACTCCTAGAGACATCACAAGATAAATATCAAGTAACTTGAAGGACTCAGCTCTAAAATTCTTCTATTTAGAGAATTAAACCCCTGCTTGATACTCGCAGAGTTGCTGTTTGAGGTGATGAGAAATTCTGTGACAACTGCATAAAAGTAGATATATAATTAATACCACTGAACTATATATTTTAAATGGTGAACATTTTGTGTTGCATGTATTTTAAATAAATGATGTAATATATGCAACCATTGATTTGTATACTTTTATTAGATGAATTATGGGATAAAAGAATTTATATCTCAAAAACTGTTTTCTTAAAAGCTTCATTCCCATTGCAAGAGAATACACTTATTTTGGTCAAAGTCGCCTGCCTCCCTCCCCTGACCAGCCCAGTCCTAACTAGCTGTGGCACATGTTTGCCACTGGTCTCATCCCTCACATTTAGAGCTTGATACCTGGCTCCTTCTGGAGACCAAACTGAAGCACACCTTGCTCCAGGTGAAAGCTCTTGGCCTCAGAGATGAGACCTGTGGCATTTAACCCCTATACAGTGTCCTGCCTTTCTGAAAGGAGCACAGTTCCCCTGGGGGCTGCCTGATGGTTTTTAAAAATAAGGGGGTGGATAGCAAAGTACAATGAAGGAAGCCCACAGGCAGAGGCACTATAAACTGCATCTACCAGGCACCCTGATTAGCAAAGGAGTCAGGAGAAGGCAATTGCCAAACCTGCTCATTCTCCAAAGGCAGCTACTCACATGACCCTTTCTCCACCCAGTCTATGGACCTCATACACTCATGTTAAAAACCAAGTAGAAGGAAACACTAGTAGGGGGCCAAGGAGGCAGGTCCCAGACACCTCATCTTGTCAAATATGTGTGCTAGGTGACAGGTAATCATCCAACTATTCACTTCTTTTTTAAATTAATTTTATTGGTACATTTTAGGTATACACTATAATGACATTCATTATTGGAAATTGGCACCTTTACATAATCTCTCCTGGTTCATATTTTTCCCCCATTTCCCTGCCTTCCCTTCAACCCCTCCATCCCTCCCTATTTACAAAGACTTTGTTACCATTTTTTTCAT